TCTACACAAGAAGTTTTGGTGGCACAACTACAGCAGCCCCTCAGCTGTACTGACGCAGACCGGGCCCTAGTCAGCCTGTATTTAGAGTGTCTTCCCCCTGATGCTTCCTTGAGTAAAATCTTTGGGAGTTGGTTCTTTTAGCGGGTAGCAGGGTTTCCCTCTCTTGGCCACTGGATGTTAGTGACTTTGAATACTAGAGTACCTGAAGAACTTGACTGATTTTAGGTGTTCATATTAAGTGAAGATCTAATATCTAAGACCAGACTTTTAAAGTAGTTTCTTATATGGGAATGGAAGTGCATGAGGATGTGGAAGAGAGGGAAAAAAGAGGAAGAGGTTTTCCCATGTGGCAGTGCAGACTGCTGTGTACTAGGCAGAAAAAAGCTGACTAGCATCTGAATGTATAGAAAAGACTCAACCCAAAGGGAGGAGTTGTGGTTTAGGTTAAAGCCACAGAGGAAGTGAAGGAGGTTACTACTTTCCTGTCTGTGGGCAGAAGGTTCTACTCTTGCTCATTTGACGACTCGGAGACAGTTCATTCTTTCCCTAGAAACATACTCATCAGTATAGTCCTGTGTACAGAGCACCAAGCTCATGCCGGCCAGGTGTTGAACGCCTGCTGTGTCCATTTGAGGTTAATGGGAGTTCTCAGGGTGTCTCGGAATCAGGCTCATGATTTATTGCATCAAATATTTTAAGGTTTATTTTTAAAACCCCTTATGCTTTTAGGTGCAGCAGCACTTTGTAACTAGTTCTCTTTGTTTTGTATCCTGGATAACTTCTGGTATAGACCTGTTTGCAAGATCATCAGGGCCGTTTTTTGAAATCAGTGGGATTATTTGGAGTCAAGTTAGTACAGAACTTGGCCTGAATATTTGGAACAGCGTGCTGGTTGCGTTAAAGGTTTCGTACTCCATAATTCTGACTACTCTGTCTTGTCCTTGGGGTTATTCTTTCCACTTTTCCTCTGATTGGTATTGAGTCAGGTCTTTAACCTCCCACCTGGTATAGCACTAATTTGCTTGTATATACAGCTCTGGTTCTCTTTGGATTCTAGCTGTATATTTCCCCTACTCAGTGGTTTGTCTGCTCACTGTAGGTTTCATGTACTGGTTGTTTCCAAGTGATTGACAAGTTCTGCATCCATCCCGGTATGTCTGCCTGACTCGCTTGTTGATTTAGGGCAGATTCTGACGGACGTTGGATGGCTACCAGTAGTGTGTGGTGTTGACATGTTACTTTGATTTTCACTGTGCTTATTTCTCTCTTTCTTTTTTTTTTCTCCACGGATCAGAGGTCCCAGCTGTATACGGCTGAAATGTTTGTTCTCTCAGTTCTATAGCCATGCTCTCCCTCACAGTGAGTTTGGCTGTTAGGATAGAGCGGGTGATTGACTCTGGTGTGCAGCAGAAGACATACTAGGAAACAGATGAAAAAATATAGGATGGCTTCTAAAAGAGAACAAATATTGAGCAAGCTCCACCCTCAGTCTGAGCAGTGGAACGTCAGCCAGGCACCTTAAGCCGCGCTGTCAGCTGGTTACTGTAGAGTTATAACCATTGTTGGTGACAATGACTTCAGTTTGTGCAACTTGTGCTTTTTGATCATACTGCATTATTGCACATGAAAAGAGCATTTGAAAGGCACTCCCTGAAGAGCCATTATGTGTTATGTGGTCTCTAACCCTCCATTAACAGCTCACCCTCACCCCTAACCCTGACCTTGGGATACAGCAGAGTCATTTCACTTACCAGGTGTGAAAATCAGATTTTGCCATGTGGGGATTATTGTTTTATCAGGTGTATTACATTATCTGGTATTTTAAAAATGCCTTTGTTGGAAGTACAAGATATCATTAAAGATTTATGTGTAGCAAATGTGTCCTTTTTTACAGAGTGTTTCCTATAAGAGACCTTCACAGTATTGATTTCAAGTGGATTTCCCCCCTTCTGTTTTAAAATATTTTCTGTGCCTGTAGATTTTCAACATTATCCACTAGGTCTGTGTGCAGTGCTTACCCCAGCCTATACTGTTAAGCCAAGGTTTCTTCCTGGTGACGTCTACGGACCACTTGTGAAGCTTGAAAAGACTTTCTGTGTTGATTCAGTCCCAGACTTCTCCCTTTGTCAAGTGGTACACTCGAGGAGATGCTTCGTCAGCTGACTAGGCTTTAGGTCTGCTTGTAAATTCTGCCAGAAGACCCCAGATCAGAGCCAGACAGTCCCACACCCTGCTCTCTCCTGACGTGAAAGACAGTAATCTCAGCATGAGCAATCCAGTGTGGCACTTCCTCCTGCACCATCACTTTAGGAGCCCTGACATGGATGTAATGGCGAAAAGCAAGGGCTAGGATGACAGGGGCTAACACACAGTATCCTAGTCAGATGCAGCAATTCAAGTAGGTTATAAAGAGAACTGAGCTGGAACTTGAGAGGCTGTTTGCCTTTGTAGCAGCATGTCATCTGTGATTGTTACAAGGGATGCAGCTCTTCACTGGGTAGAGGATCTGAGAGTCTCTTCAGCATGTAGGGCCTATGGATTGCCACACAGCTATCAGACAGCACAACAATGGTGATGTTACATTGAGTCTGCAATGCTAAGATTTCCCTTTCATCAGGAGGAGCCCATGGGCACCAGTTCAAAGGCCAGCATTCATTCCTCAGCCCCATTTGGACAGTCAGTTTAGGGTCTGAGTTCTCTCAGTAGCTGCAGGAACTCTCGGGTAACAGACTAAAGGTTTGGGCTCAGCCTCTCCTTCACAGCTCATATACACACTACCTTAAAATCCCAGATTTGGCTCCAGATACTAGAGCACCTGGATTGTGGGAACTGCTCTGATTTTCTGTTGTGTGATAGCAGTCAGACTCCAGCAAGTGCAACTCTGTTGAAATCAATGGTCTTGTTCCATTGGCACATTGGGAACTTTGCTTCACCTAATACTTCTGAAGCAGAGAACATATTCCCACCAAATCACATGGTGCCTTGCCAGCTCCTCTAAATCCAAAATGAGTCCATGAAAGAAACAGAAATCCTTCTCTTTGGAGAGTTTGTTGCAGGATGTTTCAAATAAAAGTGGGGAAAGTATAGTCTTTAATGGAGGGGAAGACATAAAACCAGCAAGAAGCAGAAATCACTAGGTTCCAGAGATTGTAGTGAGCTGTTGTTCTTCCTTCCCCTGGGGCTCAGTCCAGTCTCTAGTCCCCTTTAACATCTTTCTCGGTAAAACCTATAGGATGACCTGGGTCATAATGCCACACATTCGGCATGGAGAACAGTCTCCCAAATGACCTCTGTGCATACAGGCTATCCTAACTCGAATATAAGCAACTTGCGCAAACTGAACCCAGGAAAGATTGACAATTCTTCTTCCAATTAATGCACCTTCAATGTCCAGCACTGAAGGCTTCTGTATCCTATTTATTAAATATTGTTTGTCAAAGGCTCATGCTGGACTTCTTGATGCTAGATATCTAAATGAAAGGAAGTGCCAAGAGCACCTTCCTCATCTCTTTTTAGTACGAAATCTTCATCCATTCTGCTTCAAAAATGATTGAGTTACAGCATTCCATACACTTCTCACCTCTAGGTGGCCAGTTGTCAGTCACTTCAACTGGGTCGAGACAGCTGATGAATAGTCTGTGACCTAAGCAGGATAAGCCAAAGTGAGCATATCACATCAGTGCTCTGTGGTCTACAGAGGGTCTTGTGCATGACCAACTGCAATTCTACATGTGGTATTTGTCTTGAACTACAAGGACCTATGTGGGGTGGGTTGTGCTGTCTCTAGGGCTGCTTCTCCTCCCAGGACATGCATAGCAGCTACTGTCATCCAGTGCATTATGGTAGAGAAGGTCCAGGTCGAAAGTCAAGCAAGTTGAAGGAAGAGTTTTAATTAGTTAACCCAAAACTCATGAGCACTTTCCCAACAAGAGGAAGAATACTACCTTTCTCAGAAAGAGATATGCTATTTCTATATAGGACCTTTGTTAACCAGGACAAGTGTTTTGTATTGGTTCTGGTAATTCAGAGATAAAGGAAGTCAGTCACATGCTCTGACACACATACCAATAACCAAGCAGCAGGAGGAAAATGTACTTGTTTATTTTGGACATACCTCATTGTTTTATATAAAACAATTTTACAGCATCTAAATATCAAAGCAATCAGTACCTCAGGAATGTACATAATTTAAATGTATACAAAATGTATAGTAGCAGGTCTAACATTCAGTCTATAATACTTTGACATTTCTGAAATTCTGAATATCAAAATTTCCTTTGTTATAACCTCAGCAATCCACCAGCAAACTCAGGCAAGCTAAAGATCGATCTCTCCTTCTCCTCTAACTCTTAATCATCAATGAAAGACTCCCTTCTTTCTCAAACAGGGGATGTTTTGGATCAAGCTTAGGGCCCGAGTTATGAAATCAGCCTGCTGGCAGCTTTCTTTTTTACAAAGGGGGAGTCAGTTTGAGCATTTCTGCTGATGGCAGTTGCAATAGCATGGTAAAGTGAGAAGTTTTTCATGTAAGTAGATTTCTGGCCACTTAGGCCTTTAGAGGTCAAGATCAACCGAGAAGCCAGCAGGCAGGCAGATCATGAATGCCAGTGTAAAAATGATCACAGTGAGATGCGTGGCTTAGGAAGTGGGCTGCTGAATTTTGCACCAAGTTCAGTGAATGGGTTTAAAGTGCAAGCTGACTATATTGCAGGAGCCTAATTCTTGGGTGACAGAGGCATGAATGGTTACAGAGTGATCTGTATCCTTGAAAGACTGTCACTAGTTCATGGCCATAGATAAATTAAAAAAATCACTCATCCCAGTGGGGTTGCTACCTGGTTGTCTGCTTATGGTTGGGAGTGTAACCAGACCACCGAATCTGAACACCAAAAAGCAGACACATGCTTACACTCACAGGTTGGGGGTTTGTTACCTTCATATACGTTCACAATATCTTTTGGTTGTTTCCTCCCATCCAACATCTTCAGACTTGTCTGAACTGACATTGGTTAGCCAGCACTCATCCATGCAGGTCTCAACACAGCAACTGCCAAGAGATGGATTGAAAAGAAGTGGGAATCCTGAACGTGTTACGCGGGCTGTATACAGCAGGTACATTGTAGAAGAGGTGAGCACTGAGGAATGAATTACAGGGGTGCAGGGAAGAAGAGAGGCTGTGGTGTAGAAAAGGTTACTGGAGCTCACAGGGAGCAAAATGACTGGGATAGAGGATGCAGAAATAGAGCGAGGACTAGCTATGGCTGTGTGATGTGGAAGGAGACTCAGTGTACTTCAGGCACCAGCAGTGCTCTGGCAAGGGAGCTGAGTGGTAAATTACAGTCAGGTTAGTGCTCCAAGAACATCTGTGACCCTGTGAAATGAGGGAAAGAAAAAAGTTGTGGTAACAGTGAGTAAGATTCAGATCTCATCTGTCTGAGTGTGAGTATCTCAAGGTGAAATACCAGAAGGAGAGGAGGCGGGAATATTGATTTCTGCCACACAAAACAGACAACAACGCCTACTTGTTCACGGCAGGGATTTAACCATTCAGTTTAACAGACCAGTGTGTGTGATGGTGGGGGATTGGTTTCTCCTTCGTGTGCAATCTAGAGAGGAAGTCACGCTGAAGTTATTTTTATTTTATTATAGCATTGCTGGAGAGGTGTCAAGCCAAATATGCCATTAGAGACTGGTGTCCAACTCCTCCTGACTTCAGAGGCAGTTAGAGGCTATCGGCTTGCGTCAGCAGTGCCCTTTGGCCCCCACTGCAAGTTCTGCTGGCACAGAGGGCATTCCCTAGCAATCCATGGGCCTTGGACAGCCCGGGATAAGTTAGAAAAGCAACGGTGGCCAAGGCCAGTGCAGCAGCCTATGAAGAACATCCTCTTTACTGGTGCTAGGATGACTTCTCTAGGAGAGACCGTAGCTGTCTTGAGTTTATAAAGGGAGAAGGATATTCCTTTTGAAAAAACCTTTGCTCACAAATCTTCCTTCTGAGCTGAAATATCATTTTCTTGGTTTCAACCCATGAAGATACGTGGGCATAGACAAGGCAACGGACAGACTTGGCCAGAGGTTCAGTTAGTCTGGTTTGGCAGGGTGCATCTTGTCACCGACTAGTCTCATGATGACGTAGTAGGATAAGGGCACAAAAGGTCTGGCAACTTCCTAGGCTGTGGCAATGTCCTTTTGCCCTGAATCAAGGACATCAAATACGCTGAAAGTTAGTGTAGGACTGAGGTCGAGCTGGTGAATACACCAATGTCAGCAGACTCCAAAAAACAAGCTCCCATTGTAGGCCACCTTGCACTGCATGTGAGCATCTGTGCAGTTTAGCCAAGGTAGTGCACACTTGAGACATGTCTACACTGTGTCAGATAGTGCTAGGGTGACAGCATATCCCATCTATTCACTCCCACTCCACACTCTGAAAACTGAAAAAAGTATCAGACAGTTTATTTTGGCTCATGCCCATGGCACACCCAGTGCTGCTCTCAGGTTCTCTCTCTTGGGTATGCTTGTGCCAGCCACAGGTATGTGACATTTTTTAGACATACATATGTGCCAAGTGGGAGCAGGCATATTTTTATAGTGGCGCCCTCTAGCACTGTCCAGGGTGGTATAGGCATGCCCTAAGCATTTGTAGGAATGGGGCCTACCTGATTTATTTATTTATTTGGGGGGGTGGAGCAGACTAGATACCCAGCATGATCAAATGCAGAAAGACACCAAACTGGAAAAAAACCCAGAAGCATACATTCAGTCACAGTAATTTTAGGAATTACTTGTAACAGTAATAGGTAAAAACAGTTTCAGACAGGAGAGTGTTTTTTAAGTTAATAGTAGATCTTTAACTGCCTTCCCTCTGGACCTGTACTGCCTCTTTCACAGACTCCTGTTTTAGACCTTCATCCTGCAATGAGCTCCATGCAGGCAGCCCCCCTGTGCCCATGCCGAGCTGATTGCACTATTAGAGCCTTAATCACCTTGGTTTTTTCCAGAATTTATCGTTTCCTTTCTAGAAGGCTCATTAGAACATGCAGCCATGTAAAACCCTAAGCTTGGAGGAGAGAATTCATTGCATCTGATTGTTTGTAGTCTTGCACTCCTTGTAATCTTTTACACTTGTGCCAAAAATGTGTGCAAAGAACCTTGCTACCAGCTAGAATTTGCCACACACAACAGTGACAGCATTTTCCATCCTCCTTGTGCAGGTGTACATGAATATATAAGATGCCAGGCAGCATAGTGGGTTAAGCTTTTCAGGAGTTAGTGGAGTTTCACTGCTGGAAGGCTATAATCACATTGCAAGAGGGAAATGCTTCCACAGACAGAAAGTATGTGGCATAATTTTAACAGAAAGTTGCTAGAGGTGAAACAATCTAGAAACTGAAAAGGACAGGAAGTGCTTCAAATGGCCCAATTCTGCTTGTGTTAAAGTCAATGATAAAGTGTCCTTTGACTTCAGCAGAAGTAGAAGTAGGACTCAAAGAGCTTGTAATACAGCAACCATACCTGCTAACTGTGAGGAAGAGCCACAATAATCTGTGTGGTAACTGTTGACAAATGCTGACTTTTGAATAGCAGCTGCCTTTCTCCATTTGACAATAATTACTGGCTCACTGTAAAGAAACAGAACAGAACAGAGTTACTTCAGGCAGTGGTTCTCAACCATTTTCAAGTCAAGGCTCAAGACACCTCTTGGAAAATGACAGCTCATAGCTTTCACTCTTATTTTTCCCTTGTCAAAAAGAATACAGTAATTCTTCTGTTGCAAAGAATATTGAAAAAATGCAACAGGTGTGAATGTATTTGAAATCTCTGGCGTTATCTTGTAACTCATGTTTGTACACCTAACAGTGCTACTATTGCACAGCACCCCATGGCACACTTAAAAGGAATTCACCGCACCCGGGTTGAAAATCACTGCTTTATGGAGATGTAATGGGGCTCTGAATAGCTTGAAGGGCCCAATCTATTATTTGATCCTGCGGTTAAATTCTTGTTTTGTTTGGAACACCAGTGTGCTAATAGCAGGAGAGGAGAGTTGACTTTAATCTAGGGTGGATGGGCAGGAGAAAAGCCATAATTGTCCAAGAGAATAAAGCCTCAAACCCGGAGATACTTACACATTCTGTTAACTTTATTTGCATGAGTAGCTTCCCTGACTTTCAATGGGACTATACTCACATGTGTACACACCTGCACATGACTGGTATTTGTGGCTAGGTAAAGACGTTCAAAAAACCTGAGGCAGAATCCATCTGAGTTGCACAGTTTTCTGAAAGTGGCATAGTTTAAGTCAGGTTCCTCCATTTTAAACCTGTCTGTGTGCACCAAACTTCTGTTCTGGTACAGGTATAGACCGGTTTCTGATCCCTTAGCTTGGTAAAAGTGCAATGTCTGTATCAAAGAGGCCATTCTTAACAGACTGGCTGATGGCAGCATCCTGAGAGATAGCCAGCACAGGTTTGTTTGCTGGTAGGTCTTGCTTGACCAAAATTATTTCCTTTTATGACCAGGTGACCTGTCACCTGGACAAGGGAGAGGAGATTGATGTTGTATATCTTGACTTTAAAAAAGCCCTCGATCTGGTATCCCATGATCACCACTTGGCAAAACTGACCAACTGCAGCCTTGGGTCCACCACAATCCGCTGGCTGGGAAATTGGCTCCGTGGTCAGACGCAGAGGGTGGTGGTTGACAGAAGTCAATTGTCGTGGTGCCCCAGTGGGGTCCCTCAAGGCTCTGTCCTAGGGCCTGTACTATTTAACATCTTCATTAATGATGTGGACATTGGTATCAGAAGCGGACTGGCCAAGTTTGCCGACAGCACCAAACTCTGGGGTAAAGTGTCCACACCTGAGGATAGGAGGGCAATTCAGGCTGACCTTGACAGGCTCGGGAAATGAGTGGACGAGAACCTGATGGTGTTTAACACCGAAAAATGCAAG